TAGCCCTTACAGCGTCCTCGTGGGCTCTGGGCACTCTGTGAACCCCGTGGCACCGCATCCTGGCTCCACTCATACCATGGTCGTGCTTCCGGGCACTGACTTGCCCCAGCCTCCCACAAGGGGTCGGGCTGTGAACCAGCTCCCCTTCTATGTTTGGCTAGAGAACCAAAGTTCTGCAGAGGACGTTCTGGTTCATTTATAATCAGCTAGTTCCAGAAGAACGTGTCAGCAGAGGGCTCCTGGAACCAGCAAATGAGACTCGATGCTCCCGCGCACTTCGAGTAACTCGCTGTCTGCGAGGAGGACCCTTGGGATGGAATACGGATGGGTTCGGGGCCTAGCGTGCATCGCTGAATGATTGTGGTGGTCGTCTGACATGGCTGAAGCCTTAAAACAAGCTTAGCTTCCCAGAGACCGCCTCCCCCGTTCTTCTCCAACTCAGCCAGGGTGCAACATCCTCTCACCTTTCCAGCCGCCACAAGGAAGACCCCAGTCAGCTCCTCAGATATTTCTAAACATCCCCTCAAGCTCCATCCCTAGCGAAAGTCTGTAAAAGCCCCAGCTTTCTTTCTCTCAGGCCAGAGGACCCGCCCCACCCGCCCTAGTCCTCTCCTTGTCTTTGGAGCTAATAAAGGCTTCTTCTATCTTTCCTGTCTCTTTAGCGTGCTGCCGACAAACCTATCAAGTACATGCTCACTTGCGCCGTCCTGGAGCTACGTCAACAGCTGCTGCCTCTTCTCGCTACAGATCCTGTGGAGCTTTCCTCTCCTGAATGAAAATACAGGCAAGGTGAGTGTAGAGAGTTCTATGCTCAAGAGCTCCCGGAGCTCTGAACACCTGCCTGTTCCCACCCCTCTTTTCGGCTATCATCTTCTTCTTCATTTTTACTGTACAAAGAAGTGAAGATAGCTAAAGACCCAGCAGGAGGTTTTTTATAGTATTTTATAGTCCAATTGCCTCAGTTTTTATAACATGAAAAGTTTTTATGCTTTAATGTTGTGAAATAAAGCTAGCTATGCACCCTAGCTATGCGCAAATATACCAGAAGGCTGTCTATCAACCAGTGACAGATTAAAGTTATACTGTACGTTCTACAGATTACTTTTGAATTCCTTTTCTTCTTGCTTTTCTGTATTTTTTTAGTTTCCAAAACTGAGCATGTCTACTGCTGATTCAGCTTGCTGGAATGATAGGTCTGTGCTAACATGGTTGGGCAATTAAATGCCGACGTCTCGCACTCTGAGCGATTAATCTAGACATAACAATAAGCAACGTATTAGCCATTGTTAACCTATCGTATTGTTTCGATATTTTGGTTTTTGTTTTCTGTTTTTTTCTTCCTTTTCCTTAAAATAATTTTTTTTTAAATGAGCATGTTTTGTCCACTGAACATATACTTCCTGAGAGCCTGTTAACTACTGAATAATAATAGGTATCATGTTTGAACTCAGGAAAATAACTGGCAAATACACATTTTTTTTAAAAGTAGCAAATTATTTCTGGCTTCTTCATGAGCCCAGAATGGTGCAAATCTTGAGGACTCTGAGTTCCTGTATTCAAGGAAGTTCTCTTTTCAGCTAAGGCAATTAGGAGAAGTGCAAGCGGGGGAATTGTGGTCTCCAGCTACATTTGCATGCGGGGGCAGGAACAGCCCCTG